CACCCACCCCACCCACCTCCGGGTCAGCTGAAGGTCAAGATAGCTGGTGACAAGGCCCCTCCCAGTGCAGCTTCTCTGAAGCGCTGCCTCCTGGGAGCTGAACTTGTCGGGTTACTGCTCACAGAGGAGAGGCCTGGGGCCAGCCCCACACTCGGGCCTCACAATGGCCCACCAAGCCCAGCCAGCTCCCTGTCTGGTGGCCGTCATTCCTGAGGGAGGGAAGAAAGAACCTAAGGGCTCCTGGGCCAGCTCAGCAAGAGCAAAGCCATCAGGCTTCCCCGGCAGGGCTGCCAGGTGCAAAAAGGGCCCACACTGTGGACTTGTTTTTATTACTTGGCTGTGGGGAATGGCAAAGCTTCGTTTTGCAGAGGGCTGACCTTGCACAAGGAAGAAAGAGAGAAGCGATTCCCAGGGAGCTCCTGTCATTGTGTTAATTATCTGTCCCCACTCAGGGCAGGGAGGCCAGGGGAAACATCTGGACAAGGCAAGCGCGTCACAGCACCAGGTTGGCAGCAACAACAAAATGAGGTGGGCAGCCCCCCTCGGAGGAAAGGGGCAGCTCTCAAGGTCACCTGGGATGGAGGCTCTGCTGCGTTAGGCCTGTCCCTGGCTGCCTACGGGGAGGGGAGAGCAGGGCAGACATGGGGTTCCCGCCCAGCACCAGATGCAGAGGGAAGGGGAAGCTGCTGTGCCAGCCGGGAGGAGCCGCCCAGTCTGACAGGGGACTCACTTCCTACCGCTCCCCGCTCCCCCAGACACTGCTGCTCAAACAACGCCTCAAATAAAAACTGCCCCATAACTAAGGGAGATAGATGGAGCCTCCTGTGTCCTAATGACTGGATTCTAAGTACAGCCACACCCTTGCCTGGCAGCCAAAGCAGACTTCCCAGACAGCCCCACAGCCCTCCAACTCCAGGTCTGGGGCTGGAACAGGAGCCAAAGCCAAGGACCCTGGTGGCCTCAGCTGCTTCCTAAGGAGCAGTCGTATCTGGAAACCAGTGGAAAGAAGGCTGTGGGTGGTCATGTGCCATCTGCCCACCACAGTACCATGCGGACCATCTGGAGGCTAAGGAATGGGTGGACGCCCGCAAAGACCATCCCAACCTTAGGCCATTTTCCCTACAGTGTCTCTCCCAGTGCCCCAAACCCTCCCTCCTCGAGAGGTCTCCTGCCAGAAGGCTCTGGTCTCAAGCCTAAGCCATCCTCCGCCACAGGCTTCCCAGAGGCCCCCCATAAAATCAATGCACAGGTCTGATGAGAGCCTCTCAGGGGGCCACAGTTAGCAGCCTGTCCATGGTCCCAACAGTTTTACTCTTTGGGATGAAAAAAGACAAACTCGTCCCAACCCAAATCGAGTCTCGGCTTTTCCAAGGGGCCAAGCTCGAACCACTGATCCAACAGGCCCAGGACAGGGGTTCTTTATGGCAGGGACCATTTTACTCCACACAGAGCAGCTTGGGGTTTACCAGGAAGGGCGCTGGAGGTAAAAACCAGAAAGGAAATAGTGGAGAAGCATCTTAGGATTTTCAGACCCATAGTGATCCATGTATGGCTTTACTGAGGAGAAAGGGTTAGAATCAATGTCCTTGCGTACTACGTTAAATTTTGTTTGGATAATTTCCTCTTCAACTATTTGGAAGTCTCCAGTGAAATTCCTCACCTCAAAGAGCACCCCACTGACAAAGGAGCTTCAGGGGCTGTTTAGGTACCTAGCACCCCTGCCACCACCATCACCATCATCACACAAAGCAGGGCCCTGAGAGTAACCCCAGAACTGATATTTTATCTTTTTTTTTCTTTTTTATTTTTTTTAGCTGAGCCATCCTGTTACCTGTCGGCAGCTCAGTGGCTGCTCAGCTCGGGCTGGACTTGAACCGCTGTTGCTCAGAGCTCAAACTCTAGAGCGAGCTCTTAACCAACTGAGCCACTTGGCCAGCCCTCAGAACTGATATTTTAAAAGCTTGCTATGGTTCCGGAACTATAGCAAGGCTTTCACAGATGCTGTCTTATTTTATCTGAACAATTCTATGATTATTATCATGACCTTTGTAGAAATGAGGAAACGGGTTAAGTAACTTGCCTGACAGTAAGTCACAGAACTGGAAGTGAAACTCCGATCTCCAGGCCATTAAAATCTGCTGCCTTGTGTTTCTAAGAGGGCAAGGGTAGCTCCTGGCAAGGGTGCTGGGGAGGAGAGCTGCAGAACTGTACGCTGCTCTGAGCCTGGCTTCAGGACTGCGGAGGCCTCCCAAGTCCGGCCCTACTTCTCAAACCTCTAGCAGGAAAGAGAATGGTGGAAGGCTGTGAAGGGCCAGCCCATTTCATCAGGAGCTCTCATACTCCTGTATGTAACCTACGGCCCAGGGTCCTGGGGCTTTCCCAGGCTCTAAGTTCTACATTGTCTCCCCCCAGCACATAAGAGGCTCTTCCAGGATAAGGGATGTCTTCCAGATCAGAGCTACCAGACACTGTTACCAAAACCTCCCTCCACCATCACTGCTGTTCACTGACCACCAGCCATGTCCAGGAACTGCGCTGGGTACTTTAATTGCATTCTCATGTCATCCCTTACATCAACTTTGTGAAGGTGTAAATTAGTCCCATTTTACAGATGAGAAAACTGAGGCACCAAGAGTTTACTTGACTTGCTACAAGTTGGCAGGTTTGGAGCTGGAACCTGTTCCGTTCCATTCCACAGGCCCTGCCTCTTAAACATGAAGCTGCCCTTCCACAGCCAGGTTTTTTCTTGATGACACAGGACTACAATCTGTTCTTCTTGTGACCATCACAGGTGACTCCTGGAGTTAAACTGTGATATTGTTCTTTTCCACCATTATCCAAAGCTGAGGAGGCTACACCCTGGTCCTCTCGGTTTTGCCCTCTCCCCACTGGGCAATGTGCAGACTCATGTCTTTGCAGTCCACACGAGTGTGTTCCAGGAAAGGCCATCAGGAGTAGCCATTACAGCCAGAGGTGGAAAGTGAGGACAGAGTGGGGGCAAGCAGCCCTCACTCTCTGTCAGTGGGCATGCTGTGAGGTCCTGTATACCAGAAAATCAGGCCGATTTCACAGACTTTTCTCTGCCCACCACAAGTGTCCCTCTCCTCCCTACCCCCTCAGGTTCTATAAATAATCTAGGTCAACGCATCAGAGAAAAGGCAGCCAGTTGGGTGCGGAAAGATCCTGGTGGAAAGATGACTTCTATAAAGTCAGTTGAGGCTCCCATTCAGATCAAGTGGTGACAAGTCAAATTCTCCAAAAGGGGCTGTCCTTGTCAGACAACAGGCCCACTTGGGCCTACAGGCAGAGAGCTCAGCTGAGCAAGATAAACAGGCAAAGAAGAAACAAGAGCAGGAAATGAAAAAAAAAAAAATCAAGGCCCCTTCCCAAGTCACTGACTTCCCAGAAGCCCCTCTCTAGAAGCCTAGAGACTTTTCTGTGTGCCCCCCAGATGTGTCATCTCCCGGTCTAGTCAGATTAGCTGAGAGATGGAGGTGGAGAAGTAAGAAAGGGGTGGAATGAATTTGGGGATAAGAGCCTCTTCAGGAAAAGAAAGGGCTAAGTGATCCAGGGGAGAGCTTTCTGCCCCACACCCACCCCCTTGGGCTCCCTGAGCCAGAAAGGAAGGAGAGGACAGAAAAGGGGAGGAAAAAAAACAATACGAGGGCCAAGCTATACCACATGATCCCACACCCAGCAACCAAACAGCAAGTCATGAGGGAAGGAGAGGGAGAAGGCCAGGGGAGGGGGAGATGGAGCCCGGGTCACAGCCCTGCCCAGAGCCTGCCCTGTGCTTCCCGCCCCAGGCCACAAAGAGCCACAAAGAGCCACGAAGGCCCTTCCCTACCCACATTTCGAAAAACATTCAAGGTCAGATCCTTTTCTATCCAACTCCTGCTTTTCATTTGGGTCTGCACCAGGCTCATCGTTCTCCAGGAAGCCTCCCCTAGGCTTCCGCAGTGGGATGCCAACCCACTAGGGCAAGCCTTTCCAGCACCTGTCCCCATCTAGGGCACACCCCTGCCCCCATCCCCTCACCCTCCCCACCCAGGGCCCATGATGCCCAGCGGTGGTGTTTACCCCAGCTGATCACTTGAGTGATCCACAGCAGGTTGTCAGTCCTGGGGACTGGCTTCCAGATCCTTCCCAAGCCCAAAACAGGAAATGAGGCTCCAAGTCTGAAGCCTTGATCTTAACACAGGGAAGGTTAAACGCTGCCAAAATAAATGATTTAAAATAAAAAACTGGCCCTTCTAGGTGGAAGTGACTGAGAGATAATCTCCTGCTGTGCATTAACCATGCCCTTGTTTCCACCTGTCGCAGGACAGGCAGGAGCTTGAACCCTGACTAAAGTATTTCCTTCCTTTACTTAGAGGCTCTCTTGTTCTCAGACCAGAGACACAGAGGGGCAGAGTCCCGGGTTCTCTCTAAGCGGCACAGGGTATCCCAGTACCAGACAAGAAGCAGATGCCCTCAGTCTCCAGATCTGGTGGGGCACCTTGGTTCAATCTCACCCTTGAGGGCAGCACTGCACCTTCCTTCCCCCACAGGGCGAGGTAGCTAGCGCCTCTCCACTCCCCTGCAGGCCTGGCGTGGGTCAGGCGGGCTCAGTTCTCCTCCCCTTCGAGGAAAGAGAGACCGGCCTGGAGGCCCTAACAATGGACCCAAGATTTTCCTTCTCCAGGTTCCCACAGTTCAAGAGCCTCGGGCTCCTACTCCTAACTTTACTTGACAATCTACGCTAGGCCACCATTCACACCTCCCCGAGCCTCCCAAGGCCCGCCAGCGGCCAAGCACGGCGCGTCGCACGCTTGGGAGTCGGGAGGGGACCCCGAAATGCGAAGAACCAACTCGTCGGTTTACGCCCTTGAGCGCGAGGTTCAGGGCGCACAGCCCAGGCCGAGGTTCGGGCACCCGCTACGCCCCCGGCCCCGCCAGGACTGGCCTTTAACCGTCTCTGCACCCCGCGCCCCTCACTCACTGTGTGTGCTGGGCGCGGCCTGCACCAAAGACCTCGTCCAGTGCCACCGTGGCCTGGCCCAGGAACTTGTCCACGCCGATGAGTGAGCGGTGCATGGTGGTGAGCACCAGCTCGCAGGCGGCGGCGGAGCCCGCGGCCCAGGGCGCCGGGCCCGCATCAGCCTCCTGCGCCCGCAGCAGGCCGTCCAAGGCTCCCGGCGGCAGCTCAAAGGAGCACTCCTCGCGCCACTCGGGACAGCCCGGCGTCTTCTCCACCACCGACGTGCTGTACTTCTCACGGCCCACCTGGATGACCGTATACGCGTCGCTGGTGCTGCCCGCACCCGAGCTCTTGCCCCGCAGTCCGCGGGCCCGCAGCACGGTCACCTGAACGTGCGTGGGTAGCCAGCGAGAGGGCCCAGCCGCCGGCTCGGCGTCCCGCACCAGGGCCATGGCTGGGGAAGCGGCGGCGGGCGTGGGCTGGCCCAACGCGGCGCAGACACGGGGACCAAGTGCGAAACCGGGCAGCGGCGGGGGGCGGTCAGGAGCCGGGATGGGAGCTCCGCCGCCACCGCTGCCGCCGCCGCCGCCGCCCGCACACCCAACCGCTGCAGCTGCGGGCTGCGCTGGGCCGAGCCGGCCGCCGCCTCCCGCTGCTCCTCTTCCCTCGCCGACTGCCGCGCGGCGACGTCAGCGCCCCGCCCCCCAGCCCCGCCCCAAGGCCGGCGGCCAGCTCCCCAGCTCCGCGCGGCGGTGCGGCAGTGCTGCGGGAGCTCTGGCCACCACGCCCTCGTCCTGTCCACTGCACACCCGCGAGGACTGTAGGAAGCGGAGGTGCGCGCGGCCTCTGCAGAGGGGTGGGCGGGGCTCCATCGTTGGCCCCGCCCCGGGCTGGCGGCACCCGTGAAACCCCGCCTCCCTGAGGGGCTGCGCGACACCCTCCGTGGGTTCTGAAATGCTTGCTCGGCGTCTCCCGGCCAATCGCACATCTTTCTTTAAGATGTCCCTGCTCGGGTAAGCTCTCGCCCTAAGACCTGCCGGGGTCCGGGACGGCCATCCCTTTGGTGCAGGCATGTGGGGGTGATGCGGAACCGGGCTGCAGCCCTCTTTTCGAGCCGCACTCGCCCTTCTCCAGTCCGCTCCTGCTTGAGAAGACGCCCGGGTGAAACTAGAAACGATTCCCGCTCCGCGCACGTGATGGCCCCGCATCAGCCACCTGGAAGCGGGTGAGCTGCAGTTGCCTCCAACCTCCGCACAGGAGGAAACCACGGATGCGGCGAGACCTCGGCGCGGGAGGCCAGAGAGCTGGGCTCAACCTCAGCGAACACTGCGGCGGAGAGCAGAGTGATGAATAAATGAGTAACCACATCAATATTTAAGTGTGCGCTCAGAGCGCTGGAGTTCATGCGTCACGAGTTGGGAAAAATTATAGGCTCTGCTGGGGGTTTTAAACTGTTTCACCCATTAAGTGCCTACTATGTGAAAAGTCCTGAGTATTACTAGCACGCTTGGCTTATTATTAATAATGGTAACAGTGGTTAATAATTAATGATGCTGAATTTCGGCCCGTACTGGTTTGTGTGCTTTACATGCATTAATTACCTCATTTTATCCTCAGAGTAATAACCCTGTAGGGTGAGTATGGTTTTTATCCCCTTTTTTCCTGAAGATAAAGTTGCAGTTTAGAAAAGCTATCCTGCCCAAGTATCCTGTCCAAGTAACTGACACAGGTAGGATTTGAATCCACACAGATGACCCCAAAGTCCGTACGTTGTTTTTGTTTTTTTTACTTTCAGAGCCTGCGCTTTAAAAATAGTTTTTAAAAATGCAACACACATATACAGCTTTTTAAAAATCAAATAGGACAGAAGCACTTATGATGAAAAGGAAAACCTCCCACTCCATCCCTGGAATCAGGGATAACCACTTACAGCCATTTATTTGTGTTTTCAAGCCTGGCGGTTGGTTACCTCCATCTCTCTATGTAAAATGCTTACAGAGCTATATCTGGATTTATCAGGACTGGCCATTAACTATTGTCTTCCTGCTATGATAGATAATGATATAACTCGCTCACACCCACTTCCCTCCCTCAGTCTTGTGTAGTTATGCTATTAGTTTTCGTTCCTCTCCTGGCTCCCTTTATTTATAGTGGAAATGTTTACATTCTTGGGGAAACTCTCCACAGTACCCCTTGATTTCCTACGCTGTGAGAGGAGGATGCCAAAATCCCCACTCTCCAGGTTATGTCCTCCACCAGGAATATGGATGTAGAAAACCAGTCGAGGAGCCCCATAGGAGCACACCTGCCACAGGCCTAATCCTGACAGCCTCCCATTTTAACACTATGATCAGAAGACTGGGGTGGGGGAGTCCTTGGCACTGAGCCCTATGGTCCAGCATCCCTGTGGACAGCACCTAGCTTTGGAGACAGCCAGATCTGCCTATAGATCTTGGCTGTCTGCCACTTAGCAGCAGTGAGACCTGACGTTTAAGCCAGCTCTCTAACCTCTCTCGGCCTCATTTCCTCATCTAGAAAACAGGGATGATGATTCCTATTTCAAACAGTTGCTGAAAAGATTACATGAGAAAATATTGTCAGAGATTGTAATGCAATGGAGACTATCACAACTGATCTCAAGGCACCTGAACATTGTATACAGCCTTTTATTCTGATTATAAAAGTAATTTGGAAAATGCAGAAAAAATATAAAGAAAATAGCAATAGATCATAATCTCACCATCCAGAAATAAACACTACTAACAATTAGTTGTATTTCTTTCCAGTCTTTTCTCTGCACTATATGTTTGTTGTTTTATATGCATTATGGTTATGAAGCAACTGTGTGTAATCGTTAAACCTGTGGGCTTTGGTTTCCCGGTTCTACCATTTATATGTATTATTTCATTTATCCCAAGAGACAGCCATTTAAGGCAAGTGCTATTGCCACCCTCAGTTTCACTGATGAGGAAACTGAAGCAGAGAGAGCTTGGATGGTTTTCCCCATGTCTCCAACTGGAAAATGGCAAAAACTGGACTTGAACTCGGGTCTAACAGACCCTACTTCCTGTGGCAGTCTGCCCCCACACTGATCATCTCAGTACTACATACATCTGAAATCGACAAAGCAAGAAAAGTTATCATACCCATTTTACAGGTGAGGAAACTGAGGTATCAAAAGGGATAACAGACTTACCCAAGGTCACAGAGTAAGGATGAAGCCCTCCATTTTAAGAATGGATTCCCCAAGGGCTTTGTAAATGAAGGTATCTTTACCAAACTATGACTAACATATATTTGCCCCTCTCCTTTAATGGTTCTGCTTCATCTGTGTGCAGCTCTCCAACATGACTGCACTGTCACCTCCTACCTCCTTCCCTCCTCCTCCCCAGTGGCGTAGCAAGGCTCCAGGAAAGGGTGAGAGAGCTGAGATGGGCTACTCCCACCCCCCTTCCTCCTGCCCTGGCCCGTGCAATTTGGCAAGCTCAGGCTTCCTGTTGGCACTGAGCTGGGGCTGTAGGAGGGCAGTGAAGCAGGGCAGGACTCCCCTGTGGGTCACTTGGCCCCAGGAGGACAGGGAGGGATCTGCTAGCTGTCTGTGGCTGAGAAAAAAGTCAGAAACTCCAAAGACACTGAAGATTTGGCCACCTAGAGGTGTGTTTCCTCCTCTAGAAGAGACCACCAACACCCCTATCCCCTGCAGCCAGCCATGAGAGTTAGATGGAGAACATTCCTGCCTCCTCCACCTCCCCAGGGCTGGGTGTGCTCATGCCTTCCTGGGCCTCTCTAGTCCACTGAGACAGTCCTTGCTTTAAAAGAGTGGTCCTCTGTGTAATTTCCACTTGTTGCTTTCCTCTGTAATACCACCAAAGACTATTGGCCCTTCCACATAGACACTTCGAATATATTTGCCTGGCTCTTCAAGCTACATTTCCCCCTGTCCTTCACCCATCCTTCCACACCTCACCATAATAGAGTTACACGGCCCAGGTTCAAACCCTGGTACCACCACTTACTAGCAGTATAAGCTTGGGCAAATATCTGAACCCTGTTGAGTCTCAGTTTCCACATCTATAAAATGGGCCTAAAAATAGGAAATCACCTCACTGAGTTAGCATGAGAGCTATCTCAACACATCCGAATTAGTAATGAGTATTATCATCTTAGAAATCTTTGCTGAAAGCAGGCCAGCCAAGTGGCGCGTTGGTTAAGAGCTGGCTTGGGACGCCAGCTCTGAGCGGCAGGCCCCCAGTTCCGATCCCACATTAGGGCCAGTGACGCTGCGCCATCTACAGCTAAGATGCTGAACAACAGCTCAACCTGGAGCTGGGCTGCCATGAGTCGCCGGTGTCGGCATAGGCTGCAGCTGGGCTGCAGTGGGTTGCTGTAAAGCTACTGTAAGTGACTGGCAGCCAGCATGAGCAGCCGGTAGCTGGCGTGAGCTGGCAAGAGCCGCTGTGAGTGGCCACCCAGAGGCCAGCGACCTATCTGCCTCACCCGGGAAGAGCGCAATGATAATACCAACATGGGCCAGTGAAGTGATGTCCTCCACAACTAGACTGAAGAACAAAAGGACAGCAACTTGTCTGTTCTTCTTCCCCTAGTCCCCAATGCTGTTCCCCTCCCCCAATTCCCCAATAAAATCTTTGAAAAAAAAAAGAAAGAAATCTTTGCTGAAAGCAAAAGGTTGCACCTCCTTGTTACTACATTTGCATTTGAAATAATAGTGAGATTGAACACTTTTTTTCAGTTATTAGTCTTTCCTCTTTTATTGTATTTCCTCTTTTAATGAGTAGTCTATTTTCTTTTTTTTTTTTTAAAGATTTTTATTGGGGAATTGGGGGAAGGGGAACAGACTTTTGTTATGCTGTCCTTTTGTTCTTCAGTCTAGTTGTGGAGGACATTGCTTCACTGGCCCAAGCTGGCACCATCATTGCGCTCTTCCCAGGAGAGGCAGATCAGCCTCAGGCTTCTGGACAGCCGCTCACTGCGGCTGCTGGCCTCTCACGCTGGCTGCTGGCTACACACGGTAGCCCATGGCAACCCACTCAGCAGGGGCTGCAGCCTATGCCATCGCCAGTGACTCACGGAAGCCCAGCTCCAGGTTGAGCTGTTGTTCAGCATCTTAGCTGTGGAGGGCAGTGTCACTGGCCCTCATATGTGGGATCTGAACCGGGGCCCTCTGGCGTCCCAAGCCAGCTCTTAACCAATGGGCCACTCGGCCGGCCCAGTTGTCTGTTTTCTGAATTGTCTATTTTCTATGACTGTTTTTCTTTGAAGCCTTAATTTTTTATTAATTTATGTTAACCCTTTATATGATAAGAATAATAACACCTTGTCTTTTATATTTATTGCAAATATGTTTTGACATAAGTTATGTAGTCAAATCTTTTCATTTCTTCTATTGTTTCAAAGTTAAGTTCTTTTACACTCACACGTCCAATAATATTCCTCATATTTTTTCTAGTTTTTAAGTTGTTTGGCATTTCTTTTCTCTTCCATTCTCTTTAAATTCTCCTAGAAACAATTTTTGGTAAGTGATTTGGGGTAAAAAAACTAACCCTCTCGCAAGTTTCCCAATAGATACTTCAAAACCCTATCCCCTTGCAATTGTTTTTTTTTTCAATAAGTTTTTATATATACTATAGACAGAGTCTGAACTCT